TCCTCCTTGGCCTCCCGAAGTGCTGGGATTACAGGCGTGAGGCACCATGCCCGGCCTGAGGGTCACATTTCAACATGAGATGTGGAAGGGACAAATACACAAACTATTTCAACCCCCAAACTCCTGCCCCCTAGCATACACACTCTGTATCATTCCCTCCCTTTGAATATGGGTAGGAGCTGAGGATATGAAGGGATAATCATTCTGCTGATTAGGTTATGCCATGCAAGACTGCCATGGCCGACTGCAGGGAGATTCTCCTGCTGGCTTTGCAGAGGCTGTTGCCATGTTATGAGAGGGCCATGTGGCTAGGCCCTGAGGGTAGCCTCTAGATGCTGAGATTGATCCCCCGCTAACAGCAAGAAAATGGGGATCTCAGTTCTATTAACTTCAACAGAGGCCAACCTTAGAGGGTATCCCACCCCTGCCACAACTGTCTTTTAAGGGGCCTTGGCCACTCTCAGACATTGCCACGTAGGAGTATGAATGGGCATGACCTCTATGGAAGTCAGTTTTGCAGTATCTATCAAAATTACAGGAGCGTATGATCTTGATCTTTGACCCAGTAAGTTCACTTCTAGGAATTTACTCCACAGATATATTAGCAGACATGGGAAACTGTTTATGCACAACGTTTTCCATTTGAACATTCACCTACTCATTCATTCAATACATGTGTATTGTTAGTAATTTTAAAAGATTGGAAACAACCTAAATGTATGTCAGTAAGGAAGATTAAATATATTACTGCACAATGGAATACCACATAGCTAGAACAAAATGAAGAAGAAGGAAACTGTATGTATCAAGTTGGAAAGATCTCCAATACGTTTTTAAGGGGAAAAATCATGATGCAGAATAGAGCATACATTGTATTAAAAGGAGGGGATTGGGGATGTATATTGATATTTGTTCATACCAGCATTAAAAAATCTCTGGGCTGGGCATGGTGGCTCATGCCTATAATCGCAGTACTTTGGGAGACTGAGGCTGGTGGACTGCTTGAGTCCAGGAGTTTAAGACCAGCCTGGGCAATATGGTGAAATCCTGTCTCTACTAAAAATACAACAACAACAAAAATTAGCCAAGTGTGGTGGCACGCACCTGTAGTCTCAGCTACTCAGGAGGCTGACGTGGGAGAATCACCTGAACCCAGGAGTTTGAGGCGACAGTAAGCCAAGATTGCGCCACTGCATTCCAGCCTGAACAACCAGAGTGAGACCCTGTCTCAAAAAAAAAAAATCTCTGAAAGGTTATAGTCACTAGCTATTTGGGGGAGATGGGAACTGGGCAAATGGGGCAGGCATTAGAGGGAGATGTTTCACTGTGTATCTGGTGATACTCCTTATGTATGGATTATTTTGAACTATCAGCTAAATAAAATATCAAATGCATGTATTTTTAAATTAAAACATTTTAAAAGAGGTTTTGTCCCAATAGAGTTAGGGAGCCACAGGATCTCTGTAGCATTACCTTCTCAGTTTTTGTTTTGGTTTGTTTGCTGTGTGAGACCAGGATGTCAGCATGGGAAAGAGGCCTTTTCTCCTCTCACCGCCCGCCTCCATTTGGATTTTGCAGCCTGAGCACTGTCCTCTAATGGAGCCACCGCTTACCTTGCCCCCTCCAGCTCCCTAGGGAGAACCGAAGTGCTGCTTTCCCAGAAGCCACCAAGGCTCTCCAGCTACACTCCCAGAGCCACTGCTGGCAGCTGAGATTCCCCTGGGAGGTTAGTATCTGTGCATCTTCCTAACCACCCGGCCCCATCTGGAAACACTTGAGTTCAAATAACCCAACCAGTCCTGTCCTACAGGTCTGGATCCCCTCAAGCAGGGCTAAGATCCAGCTGGAATGTATCAGTGCTTGTATCAGTACTAGTTGTTTACGCATGGAGTCTATTCTGATGGTCCAGTGCCGGTCCTCTACCAGTTAAGTATTTTGGCTATCACCTCTGTCCTCTGT